GCAGAGTTCAGGAAGGCACAGCATGGGTGCAAGGTGAAGACACCAGCTCAACCAGTGGAGTCCCTCATCCTTCTTAGAACAGCAAATGTGTTTTGAATACCAGTTCTCATGCATCATGTATTTTATGCTCAAAAATGGAAAGCATACAGCAAAAGCCATGTTTTTTTCCCTTTGTTGAAATATTAATTTTAAGATGTTTCATACAGAGAATTGAAGAGCAAGAAAAATTAGAAACATGCACATTCCAAGTCATTGGCATTATTTTTGTTGTTTGTTTCTGTCGACTCTCTGCAGGGTCTGGTGTTGGTGTCTTCTCCAAACTCATACATTGAAAACCTCAAAGTAATGGCATTTGGGTGAGGGGCCTTTGGGAGATGATGAGAGTGGAGGACTCGTGACTGGGATCAGCGCTCTTAGAGACCCCAGTGAGTGTGTTTGCTCCTTCCACCGTGTGAGGACACCACAAAGAAGCACCACCATTGAACTGGAGGGTGAGCCCTCACCAGACACACAGTCTGCAGGAGCTATGGTCCTGGGCTTCCAGCCTCCAGAATTATGAGAAAGAAGTGATAGATTTATGGTATTTTGTTATACTAGACTAACAAAGAACTGAGATCCATCACTTGCAGTAAAGACCACAAAATATTTTATGTCATCTCAGTCTCACTCATGGTAGCATTCAGCCAAGAAATGAAGGTGGGGCCGACGCTGTGGCACAGCAGGTAAAGCCACCACCTGCAATGCTGGCATCACATATGGGCACCGCCGGCTTGAGTCCCAGCTGTTCCATTTCTGATCCAGCTCTCTGCTATGGCCTGGGAAAGCAATAAGAAGGTGGCCCAAGTCCTTGGGTCCCTGCACCCACGTGGGAGACCTGGAAGAAGCTCCTGGCTCCTGGCTTCGGATCAGCGCAGCTCCGGCTGTTGCGGTCATCTGGGGAGTGAACCAGCGAATAGAAGACCTCTCTCTCTCTCTCTCTCTCCCTCCCTCTGCCGCCCTGTAACTTTGCCTTTCAAATAAATAAATAAATGTTTTTTTTTTAAAAAGAAAGAAAGGTAATTTCCAGGTTTCTCACAGAGAAGAGTCAAGGATAACTCTTGTCACTTTGGGAGAGGGCCTTTTGCCGGCTCAAAAGTGACAACCTGAGAATAAACTGCAGCTTGTTTTTCACTGTGCAAATAGCATACAACATAAATAAAACTGAAATTAACAGAAACAATATAAACGCAGAGGGCCGGCGCCGCGGCTCACTAGGCTAATCCTCCGCCTTGTGGCACCGGCACACCGGGTTCTAGTCCCGGTCGGGGCGCCGGATTCTGTCCTGGTTGCCCCTCTTCCAGGCCAGCTCTCTGCTGTGGCCAGGGAGTGCAGTGGAGGATGGCCCAAGTACTTGGGCCCTGCACCTCATGGGAGACCAGGATAAGTACCTGGCTCCTGCCATCGGATCAGTGCAGTGCGCTGGCCACAGCGCTCCGGCCGTGGCGGCCATTGGAGGGTGAACCAACGGCAAAGGAAGACCTTTCTCTCTGTCTCTCTCTCTCACTGTCCACTCTGCCTGTCCAAATATATATATATATATATATATAAAAACACAGTGTCCAAAGAACATTGAGAAAGTAGTTTTCATTTTTTTAGTTTCAGTGGTGTTGATTATCACAACATTATATATGAAAACATAATCAGGTGGAAATAAGAACCAACAGTGACCGTGCTCCCTCTTTGTCCAGTAGTGGGGTAGGTGTCACTCAGGTATCGAGTCGTTTATTTAATCATCAAAGCAAAAGGAGCCATGCCCTTGGACAGATGCAGACACTGAGCCATAAAGACTAACATCTTTATGATCACCACATACAATGCACACTAACATCTTTATTGCCACCACAAACAATGTACCTTCACTTGCCTTGTTACCAATGGATCCATGTCAAACTAGAATTGCTCAGAGGAAAACTTTATTTCCTTTTGACAAGGGGGCAGTGGGAGATGGTAGTTTGCTAAGGAAACTGCTTCCCTGAGAAGCAATTGGCCAGGGCTTTACAGCCAGCTTTGGGATGTGTCCAGGATACAGCAAAAGAGGCAGAGAAGGCTCCTCCTACTCACACATGTAAGCGACATCCACCTTTATCTACTGTGTATTTTCTGAGAAGGGTGGCAAACTCCTCCCAGAGGTGGGAAGTTGACTATTCTGGGGTCAGTTTAGCCTGAGCGACAAAGATTGGACTCAGACTGTTTTCCCTCCAGTCCATACAATGTGGCAGTGTCCCATGTTGTGTTTCATAGATGGTGCTTCCTTGCCGTGACCTCATGAAAGGAGTTGGCTAGACTGAGAGTGGTGGGAAGGTAGATAGGACAAAGGGCTCCTCCAGGACTGTGGAAAATTTTCTTAACCTAGCTGGGAAACTGGCCTAAGCTAGAAAGGGAGTTTGCTCATGAAAGACATGAAGAATTTCACTGATTAGTTGAGGGAAAAGCAGGCTCTGGCATCAAGGCCACACAGAAGACCATGCAGCCAGGGTTGTCTGTGAGCAGTCTTAGGGGTCTGGTGAAGATAAAAAGCTCCCTTGATGGGCCCTAAGATAGAACTTTCTCTTTGTTCTGTGAGAATATGTTTGCTGTTTTACTAGCTAAACCCCCAGCACAAGAAAGTAGAGGAACTCTCTTTTTTCTCCTGGCTAGATCTACAGGAGTTTCATATCTTTCCTTTCTAATACACTTTGCTAAAATCGCCATCTCACATGTTCATCTGCTTCATATTTCATCGCAGATAGAGCAAATTCTCAGGGTTCATCTCAGTTGCTTTGCTCTCATGGGGGAAGGAGCAAACAACAGGGTCTCTTTAAGGGCACTGATCCCATTCATGAGGGCTCCAGTCTCATGCAACGTTCCTGGAACATTCCCTGAAATACAAGGTCAAGAGAGTTCAGATCCTCTGCTCATGTTCCAGCATCTCTTCTCCCCTTTTTACCCAAATCCTGCATTTCGGGTTACAAAATCATATCACTTATCAGCAATAACTTTGAATATATGCCCTTCACTTCTGTATCCTCAAAGCTGTTCTACTTGGGAGATATTCACCCACAGCTTCATCCCTCTGTCTTCCCCCCCATTGGGGGGGGTACCCAATGGGGTATCCCATTGCTAGACCAGTGACATTCCCAGGGCTAGTTGGAACATGGTTTGAAACCTCTTGATTTAGGGGGTGGGAAGACCATAACATTTAGGGGATTACTGGAATTGAGCTGGTAGTTTAATATGAGGCTTCCCAAAAGCCAAGAAAAACTGGAAAAAACCATGGCTTAGATCATAAATTCTTACTCTTGTTCATTCAAGGCCCTGAAATCAAGGTAAGCTCTTGTGTGTCTGTGCCACCCACTTGTAGACATCACTTCCTGTAAAACTCTCTCCCTTTTTGTTCCAGTCACAAATACTCTATCTCCAGCAGGCTTGAGCGATCTAAGTTCAATTTTTTTCCAACTTCTTGGTAAAATGAATCTGGGAATTTCCTGGCAAGCTTATACATGCTACTCATCCTCCTGCCTGGGCTTGCTGCCTCACCCAGACTACTGGCTCTAGAGCATAGCTCCTCCCTTCTGCAGGTCACCTCTTCTCTTTTTATGACAATAATTTATTACTGGAATCGTTGTCTTAGGGAAAGTGAGTCACCTAATCATAATATAGATCATTGGCTGAGGTCATAGACTTCAAGTTCAGGGAGCTGGATTTAAATTCTGTGTTGAGTACTTATTAGCTATGACCAAGTAATTTAACTTAACTTAGACTTGGTTTTCTCACTGATAAAGTGAGAAGTAGGGCATCCACCTAGAAAGATCACAATGAAAATTAAATTCAGTAAAGCATGAGCCTGGAACATTCAGAGTAGCTCTGAATATAGCACTTACAGGGTTATTAATCTGCAAAAGACATTGCTAAGAAAGCACAGAGACCTTAATTCCACAGGACCATTTCTTATATCAGCACTCACAAATGCCAAAAAGTAATGGCAATTTGAGAGAGGCTTACACCAATTTAGACCACGTAATTTAATTTATGGGGATCTGATTTGATAAAAAGCTAAACCCTGAAACTTTACCAGGATGAAGAGTGACCATCTTGTTTAAAAACTGTTTGGCAGTATCAGTTACCTCTCTGGCAATTTTTGTGTGAAATTAATGAACAGGCAGTTCAAAACCAAACTTTCTGGTGAATTCTCAGAAACAAATATTCTTGTTGTTTATTGATTCTACGTGTATAGGTTTAAGGAACCAGAGGTGTGCGGTAAATGTTCCTCCATATTTGGAAATGACTAAGTATGCTGTACTTGTCGAATACGTGGGAATTTATTCCACTCTAGTGAGAAGGTAGGAAGCGAGAGTAGCGAAGATCTTTGGCATGACACTTCTTCTTTTTCTTCTTAGAATCCCACCAGGAAGAACAGGTGCATTTTCGTTAAATGAAGTGAGACCATTTTGACCTCAAATCAGAACTTCTGCATCCAATTTTGCAAAGCTCACTACCAAATGACTGATAGTATTTTGGTCAAAATTGAGACATTAAGATTTTTTTTATTGACAGGCAGAGTGGACAGTGAGAGAGAGAGACAGAGAGAAAGGTCTTCCTTTGCCGTTGGTTCACCCTCCAATGGCCACCGTGGCCGGTGCGCTGTGGCCAGCGCACCACGCTGATCCGAAGCCAGGAGCCAGGTGCTTCTCCTGGTCTCCCATGGGGTGCAGGGCCCAAGCACCTGGGCCATCCTCCACTGCACTCCCTGGCCACAGCAGAGAGCTGGCCTGGAAGAGGGGCAACCGGGACAGAATCCGGCGCCCCGACCGGGACTAGAATCCAGTGTGCCAGCGCCGCAAGGCGGAGGATTAGCCCAGTGAGCCACAGCGCCAGCCAAGATGTTTTGAAATGATAAATCCAAACTACAACTAAATGTGTCAAAAAATTTGTCAAAATTGACCTGCAGTCATCTTTTCTCTTTAAGCAGAATGTAATTGCTGTCGTGAAATAATGATATGAATGTACTGAGAATTATCAATGAGCCAACTGTCGCTGCTATTGCTTATGGCTTAGACAAAAAGGTTGGGGCTGAGAGAAATGTGCTGATTTTTGACTTGGGAGGTGGCACTTTTGATGTGTCCATCCTCACAATTGAAGATGGAATTTTTGAGGTCGAATCCACAGCTGGAGACACCCACTTAGGTGGAGAAGACTTCGACAACCGAATGGTCAACCATTTTATTGCCGAGTTCAAGCGCAAGCATAAGAAGGACATCAGTGAGAACAAGAGAGCTGTCAGGCGTCTCCGCACAGCTTGTGAGCGAGCTAAACGTACCCTCTCTTCCAGCACCCAGGCGAGCATTGAGATAGATTCTCTCTATGAGGGAATCGACTTCTATACCTCCATCACCCTTGCTCGATTTGAAGAGTTGAATGCTGACCTTTTCCGAGGCACCCTGGACCCTGTCGAGAAAGCCCTTCGAGATGCCAAGTTAGATAAGTCTCAGATCCATGATATTGTCCTGGTGGGTGGTTCTACTAGAATTCCCAAGATTCAGAAGCTGCTTCAAGACTTCTTCAATAGAAAAGAACTGAATAAGAGCATCAACCCTGACGAGGCTGTTGCCTATGGTGCAGCTGTCCAGGCAGCCATCCTGTCTGGAGACAAATCTGAGAATGTTCAAGATCTGTTGCTGTTGGATGTCACTCCTCTATCACTTGGGATTGAAACTGCTGGTGGAGTCATGACTGTCCTCATCAAGCGCAATACTACCATCCCTACCAAGCAGACACAGACCTTCACCACCTACTCCGACAACCAGCCTGGCATGCTCATTCAGGTTTATGAAGGTGAGCGTGCCATGACCAAGGATAACAATCTGCTCGGCAAGTTTGAGCTCACAGGCATACCTCCTGCACCCCGTGGTGTTCCTCAGATCGAAGTCACATTTGATATTGATGCCAATGGCATTCTTAATGTATCTGCTGTGGATAAGAGTACAGGAAAAGAGAACAAGATCACCATTACAAACGACAAGGGCCATTTGAGCAAGGAAGACATTGAGCGTATGGTCCAGGAAGCTGAGAAGTATAAGGCTGAAGATGAGAAGCAGAGGGACAAGGTGTCTTCCAAGAATTCACTTGAATCCTATGCATTCAACATGAAGGCAACTGTTGAAGATGAAAAACTGCAAGGCAAGATTAATGATGAGGATAAACAGAAGATTCTTGACAAATGCAACGAAATCATCAACTGGCTGGATAAGAACCAGACCGCAGAAAAGGAAGAATTTGAGCATCAGCAGAAAGAACTGGAGAAAGTCTGCAACCCAATCATCACCAAGCTGTACCAGAGTGCAGGGGGCATGCCAGGGGGCATGCCTGGGGGCTTCCCTGGTGGGGGAGCTCCTCCATCTGGTGGTGCTTCCTCAGGGCCCACCATTGAAGAGGTTGATTAAGCCAATCCCATTGTAGATGCAGCATTGTTCCACACAGTAAAAGATGGAAGGACCCAAATTTGTAGCAAATTCTGTGGCAGTTTTAAAGTTCAGCTGCTATAGTAAATTACTGGGCATTCTCAATACTTGAATATGGAACATGTGCACAGGGAAAAGAAATAACATTGCACTTTATAAGCACTGTATCTAAGTGGAAAATGCAATGTCTTAAATAAACCTGTATTTAACATTGGCACCAAAAAAAAAAAAAAAAGAAATAATGATATGATGGAGGAACATAGGCTCCAATTAGCTTGCTTATTCAAATTAATATTTATTTAGCGGTCACTTGCTAAGTAGTTATTATCTGTTAAATCACACTTCCTAAAGTACAGTGTGTTGTACTTTATTATTTACAGTTTTGGACATAAGTATTATATATAATTAAACACAGTCATTTCTCATCATGAAGCAGTTATTCCTCATGATGAATCTGGTAAGAAGGTGGTCCAGATCTCTTAAGCTCCTACTATGTGTGATGTGAAAGGAGTTCTAGTTATTCCCAAGGTGGTGAGCTAATGCTGAATGCCAAGCTGAGCCCAGAAATGTCACAAGAAAAAGAAAGTGGATGATGGATCAAGATATGAGGCCTCTGAGATACTGCATGCAAGATCAAAGGGGCTGGATGGTAGAACAGCACCAGAGGTGACCAGTGCCACATAGTGGGGCATTGCCTGCCAAGAGCTTTCTGGTAGTGGCTGTTCTCCATGTGTGCTTTGGCCAGGTCATTACCAGCCAGTGTCTCCAGCATTTATCAGAGCTCTGGCATCACTTCAGGACACCCGTGATGAACAATAACAGGAATCAAGGCAAATCAGATGCCTCCTGATCCCTCCATCAAGAACTCTCTGCGGGGCCAGGAGATGAGAGCCCAGGGAGGCAGAATTTCCTAGGCTGAGGTTCAGAGAGGTCCCTGATGGGATGTCTTCTCACATTAGAACTCTTGAAGCTGAAGAAAGGCTCCCCTCCCCTCACTCCCCAAACTCACTTGTCCTGCACTGAGACTTTGTCTTTTTCTCCAGGTACACACAACCAGCAACTATCAACATGTTAGCTTCCAGGGCAGATGACAAGATAGCTGCTGAACGTTTAGCGCTGCTCCAGAATTTATCAGTCGTGGCCTTCTATAGCTTCACACCGAATCGATTGAGACAATAATGCCTCTCACAGGTTCATTGATGAGACGGAATCCTACTGCCAAAGGCAGGTCAAGAAGAGAAAAACAAGCAGAAGTTTATTAACATGTGTGTCCCATTTGCATTTAAAGGAGACACTTAGGGAATGAGATGTTCTCAAACAGGTGACTTTACACTTCAGCTTATTTATATGGCAATTCAACAAAGAACAGTGAATCCTCTGGAACCATCGCCATTGGAGAAGGGTTCAAAGCTGCCATCAGCAGCTGATCTTTGCTCTCTCTGGCAGCAGGGAGGATGAAATATCTTGGGTCTTTGTAAATCTATGTCCTGCTTTTAGGCAGGGGAACTGGAGAGCAGACAGCTTTCTTACCACTGCTGCTTTCTAACGATCTGCAGTTCAATCATGCTTTATATTTAGGGAGACACAGTCTAGTCTTCCACATGGACTTAATGTTTCTTTTGTCCCATGAGGTGAGGAGGAAGCACTTCTCTTCTACCCTCTGAGGCTTGGTGCTTTGGGGCACTATAAATTAAACAGATAAAAATGCATTAGCAAGAGAAAAAAGCAGACTTAATTGCATCCATAATGTCTTCATCCATCTTCTGCTGCTGTGACAGAAGACTGCGGATTGGGAAAATGATAAACAACAGAAGCATATCTGGCTCAAGATTCTAGAGGCCAGGAAGTGCAGGAGCAGAGTGGCAGCAACTTGGGAGGGTCGTAATGCTGTGTCGTAACATTGCAGAAAGCATTACATGATGAGAAAGCCCGGGAGAAAGGAAAAGAGAGAGAGTGAGAGCAAGCGAGAGAGTGGAAAGGGACAGGAATCATTGGAATTTGTCACTTAGCCACCCTGTGACCCCACACTCAGCACTAATTCATCTGTGGGGCAGAGCCCACTCTGCTCTCCTGACCTACACCTCGCAAGACTGCCAGTGGGTAACTAAGCTTCAATCCATGTTTTGGAAGGGGCAGTTAGACCATGGCACATAAGTGTAGGGGTTGGTAGAGAATGGTGACCCAAGAAGGCAGTTAGAATTGGAGATTCCCTACCATCTTCACTGAGGATAGAGAAGGCCAGAGGGACACTTCCATGAGAACAAATGAGTTCTGGGAAAAACAAATGGGAGCCTAAGAGCACTCATGGGAGATATGATAGTTTAGTGCTGATGTTGATTTGTAGTCTTTCCTTGTTGCAAAACTTCCAGGAAGAGCATTGTTTAATAACATACGATGAATGTACCATTCATTTAGGTACATTTCAAAACGACTAAAGTACTTTTCATTAAAGACAAAATAGAAAGGAAAGCGATGCTAGGCAAAACAGAGTGGAACATATGAGGGGTCTTCAGAAGTCCATGGAAATGCATATTATGAAAAATCAATGCATTTGTTTCAAAAAATTATGCATCAGAATAAACTTATCTCTCAATTCCATTTTCCGTGAATTTCTAAAATACTCTTAAATCAGATTTGGTGGATACATTTAACTCTCTGCTTTGCAATGATGAAAATACTTCAGAAGAACATTTGGAGCTACTATAATATATATATATATATATTATAAAGTTCTATACACATAAACATAAGATGCTAAACAGCTGTATCTATTCCACACAAAAACTTTACTCAATCCAAAACTTCAATCCACTAACAAAGATCTGAGACCAGTATATTAAGAGACAAGTCATGCTTAACTTAAAAATAAACAACATATTAGCAACCGAACAGCACTTTAGATTTCTTAAATATATTGTTGAAAAATGGGGTTGGTGAAGCTGATGTATGCATCCAAGTATTCCTGTATGACAGCTTCCAGACTTTTCATTAGCTCTATGCTTGTACAAGACAAGAGCCCTATCAACAATCATATCTTGAGATGAAATAATTCCATTCTTAGACTTTATCCTAAACAAACAAAATACATTTTATAAGGACAGTCATTTCAGAATTATCTAATTTAGCCTCAAATTGAATGCAACAGTTTCCCTAATTTTCTTAAAGTAATTTAATTCAAGACCCATGGACACAGTAAATATTTACTTAGCAACTAAGGTAAACTGAAAATATTGCAATGACAATTAAAATAAAATAATCCATTACATGCTAAAGTCTATTTGAATGTAAATGTGTATAAATGTTTTAGATAATATATATTAATAAAATCATTGTGTTGGGCTGGTTAGATTATGGATGATTTAGAGTTATATGTTATAATTAATGTAATTGCATTCAAATGATTCCTTTTAGAATAGTACTTTCATTTCCTTTTCTTATTTTTACTTATTTATTTTCATTTTATTTGAAAGGGATAGAGAGGGAGAAACAGATAAAGAGAAGTAGGGAGGGAGGGAAGAAGGGAGAGAGACACTGAGAGACCAGTGAAGAGATTTTCCATCCACTGGCTAACTCCCCAAATGCCAGCAATAGCCAGGGCTAAGCCAGGTCAATGCCAAGAGCCAGGAAATTAATCTAGGCCTCCCTTGTGGGTAGCAGGTCCCCAAGTCCTTGAACCTGCTGCCAGGGTACACATTGGCAGGCAGCTGGAATGTCAAACCCAGACATCCTAATGCAGAATGCGGACGCCCCAGGTGACAAGTTAACTGCTGAGTCAAACATCTTTCCCAGAGGACCTGTGACAGAGGATCTGCTTTTCACAGGTAACAGGAGTTCAGACAAAGCCTTATCCTGCAGTTGTTGATTCTCACACACCTTCAGCTCAAAGTAGTCAGTATGGAAATGAGCATCTGGAGCTCCAGATAAGATGCTTCTTGGCAACAGGAGTCACTGTGCACTAACTTCCTTCCTATGCAGGGCCTCTGTCCTCAATGAGCTGTATTATGAGAATTAGCTGTAAAACTTGTCCTCAGGCTCTGTATGTATGTGTGTGTGTGTAAACTGTTGAAATCTTTACTCAATATAGAGTTGGTCTTCTGTGTATAAAGTCATTTGAAAATGAATCTTAATGGAGAATGGGACAGAGAACAGGAGAGAGAGGAGGAGGTGGGGTGGGAGTGGGGACGGGAGGATGGGTATGGTGGAAAGAATCACTATATTCCTAAAGTTGTACTTATGAAACGTGTACTTATAAAAGGTTTCTTTGGGGAAAAAAAGAATATATATGTTTAAGTTTTACTTATGTTCCAACATGCTGGAAGTTCAAAGGCAGAGCTCATGGTTTCATATTGCCTTTAGGTCACGTTACTTCCACTGGTGATTCTGTAAATGATTGCATAATATTTAACACACACACACACACACACACAGAGAGAAGATGCTTCTTGGAATATCCACATTCCCATGTTGGAGTGCCTGGGATTGAGTCCTGGCTCCATTTTAGATTCCAGCTGCCTGCCAATGTGTACCCCGGGAGGCAGCAGGAGATAGGTACAGCACTTTGGTCCCTGCCACCTAAGTGGGAGATGAGATTAAGTTCCAGGCACCTGGCATTCACCTGGCCCAACCCTTTTTTGTTGTGGGAATTTGGGGACTAAGCCAGAAGATGAGAGATCCCCCCCCAATGTATGTGAATATGTGTGTGTGTCTCTCTGCCTTCTAAATAAATTTCAAAATAATAATACACAATATGTCACTGTAACATGTTCTGGACCTCTTCACAGGTACACAGATCTCTCTTTGACCCGTAAGATATTTTTTGCCTTAAAATCTGCCTTACATAATATAAAATTGCTAGCTCAGCTTCCTTTAGTCATATTTTCTGGTATGTCTCCTCATTTGTTTATTTAAATATTTTCTTTCTTTTTTCCTTTTAATATGTTTAAATCTTTTAACTGTATTGTCTCAGTATTGTTTGGGAATTTTTTCTGTGACTTTATTTCCCATTTTCTATTGGCTATACTTCATTGTTGTTTCTTTTTGTTCTTTATAACTGTCACTAGGTAGTTCAAATTTCCTTGTTTTGAAATTTACACATTTTTTTTGCTACCTGGTGAGCACATCTTGTTTGCTAAGATCTATATTTCTGTTTATTTTGACCCTACATTTATTTTTCCCCATTGACTTCCTTGTGACAAAGATTCTTCGACATTCGTT